CGTGTCCGTAGATCGGCGGTCACGCCTCTGATAAACCTTCCAAGATCTGATGTCTCCATCATGACTATTTTAGGATCTTAACCTCTACGCATGTGATTTGGTCTAAGCTTGTTTTATCGTCTTATTGTTTTGTCTTATCGCATAAAATCAATATAAGTGTATTTACTATTGTTCTCTGAAATTTAAGCGGGCAAAATCCTAGATCAAGTATCATCTAACATTGTAGTCGTGCATCATTTATTGTTTAATTTATCTTAAGCCAATAGAATCCACATGGAAATAAGCAAGACATCCTAAATTTTTTTAAGGGTTCGCTTTGTTAGATGTTTTCAAAATATATGCATTTCATAAATATAGTCCATTTAAATATACAGCTTATGCATTGAATATATATATATATATATAGGAAGAGCAAGATGGTGTAATGCTATAATTGGTAATCGCCCAATTTAAATGATTTTAAAATACAGGAAAAAATAGAGTTTTAAATATTTTAAATTCCTCAAAATTACTATATAATTTTTTGCTTCATGTAAACAATAACTTATTAATAAGGCACATTAAATATCCCCTAAATAAGATTTACCTCATTGTTAATCCAAACTCCTTCAGATAGTTTATCACACAAGAGGATTGAGTATATTTATTACTTAGATAAGCAATAATGCCCACAATTTTGCCTACCAAGTCTTGGGCAATGCTACATGTAACCTCATTCATCTATCTATTTCAATCAAAGTTAACTTAATGCACCCAACAATCACATTCTGCTAAGATGTTCCTAAAAATGTCCCAACCACAAATATCTCACTAATTAAACAAAATTCTCTGTCCTATTTATTATTATACATGTCACGTCCTAGAATCTAAATTAGAAAAGAATTATATATTTTATCTTTAGATATAATAATAACCAAAGCTATCTAATCTCTTTCAATAATAAAATATCATCGAAAAATTAATCTATTGGTCAAAACATCAACACAGATTTGTATTCATTACTCCAAAAATCATATTCGTGATATTTTTTCAATAATCAGTAAATCAGTAATCGTTTGCTCAGTAAACAGAGTTGTCACTTTACCCATCAGCACAATAATCATCTCCTTATAACTCTTAATCAAAAAATCATGTTAATCAGTAAATGATAACACTAAACCACAGCATTTAAAAGAAAGTATGTCGGCTGACTATATTGTCCAAGTTAGCTAGTCTTTAGCCAACATCAATAAATAATCAACATTTACTTGTTTTCACGCATATTATTACAAAAGTAATAGCAAATGACTATTACCCAATCACATGCCCATATTATTCACAATGCTTGTATTAATATTTAATAGTATGCTTGCATTAAAATGCCAAAATTAGTATTCTATGTAAATCATACAAAATGCAATAATTACAATTTTATCCGATGAAATTACAAAATGAAAATGAATCAGTCAAAATGCCTGAAATAATCAGTGCTACAAAATATAAAAAGCTAAGCATTAAAAGTTCAATAAATCATAGAAAATGTAATAAAATCATTTTGGGAGAAATCAAACGATCGAAATCAAAATATTTGAAAACATAAATAGGATAGAAATCACATACAATGATTTGAGTAGTTTTAGTAAAAGTAACGAAACGAATCGGCGACCAAAATTCAGACTTCTCTTTCCTCTCTCTCTTTTCCTTCTCCCCTTCCTCCTTTCCTTCCACGACAAGCTAAGGGAGAAAGGAAAATGAGTGGATGAAATTGTTATTATATATATATATATATATATATA